AAACCACAATAAAAGCATGGGGCTGATTTACTAAAACAGGAGAGAGCAAAATATGGTGCAACTGTGCATGGTAGCCAATCAGCTTCTAACTTCAGCTCGTTCAATCAAGTTTTGACAAAAAAAAAAAACTGGAAGCTGATTGGTTTCTATGCAGAGTTGCACCAGTCTTTGCAATCTCCAGTTTTAGTAAATCAACCCCCAAGGATTGGTGACACCACAAAAGGAAACCCTCGAAGCATGGGCAGCGGTCACAGTGACTGATTTTATTACGACTGAGGTTTCTTGCTGTAATGACATTTTTTAGAATCATCCCAAGAAGCAGTATCATGGGAAAAAGGTACATCTATTTCTTTCAGCACACCATTAAATCATGTCACCTTGTCACACTAGCTTAGAAGAGAAAGTCCTGAAGTTCCGTTATGAAATGTGTAATGGCCGCAGTAATATGGCTGTTCCCAGGACTCCAGCAGCTAGTGCCCCAGCTTGTCCTAAGAATCCACCTTGGCAGCTCATTCACCCCCTGTCGCTGACTGATTGGCTGCTTTACACAGGAAATGTTTACTCTTGCTACAGGCATATCTCTAATCAAGGGCGTCCAAGGAAGCTGAATTAAAGCGAACCAATTTTACAAATGCGTTTCTCTTGAGTGATGACATTAATATCTGGTATGTGCTCATGACACCAGCTCTCCAGGATCAGGATTTTAAAGGGATACTAAATAATTCTAGTTTTCATATACCTTACTAGACATAAACAACATTTTCTATTTTACATGAAATGTATCTATGCCCCTTGCTAATTGAGCCTGGGTTCACATACATGCGGTCTGGTATATCGCATGTTATTCGCACAGGAACCGCACCGCATTCCTGTGCAAATCACATGTGATTTGTTTACAGTGAGATTGGAGCTGTACATGTTGTATGGTTTTAATTGCACCGCACCCACACCGAAAACGTGCATGACCCTTTTTTGGGTACGCACTAGAATCGGATCACTTGGGTATTCACACCTATGCGATCCTATTCTGCACATCGCACCATGTTTTGAGGACCGCTTTCAGGGTGTTGTTAACTGAACATACAAACCCGCAGTGGTTCGCATGAACGGGGTGCGATTCTGATGCAATGCGGAATTTGCAGTGAAAACGCTGCAAATTCTGCACCGCATCAGTGTGAACCAGGACTCAATGATGACGGTGTCACTTATGGACTTCAGGCAGCCATTCACAATATATGACTCCCCCTCCCCACACACACATTATTATTATACAGGATTTATATAGCACCGTTTGTGCAGCGATTTACAAAATAAAGGGAGACATACTCCGTTTTGATCAGCAAGGGATCTGTCCGCTGATCACCCTCTGATCAGAGCAGAGCCGGCGGGTGACAGGTCCATGTCCACTCAGTTTATGCAGAGCTGACACGGACCAAGCCTGCTCTGCTCTATGGGCGGCCCGGGAGTAAATAGACTCCACAGGTCCCGAAAACAGACTGCAATGCATTCCTATGGGCGGCCAGATGTAAGCAGCCATTTCCATTCAGATTTGTTGTATCGAACGCAAAAGATTGCTGCCAGGTTTGTTTTTACTGACCTCACCAGATGTCAGTAAGAGCAGACGCAAGTTACTTTATAAACAAAAACAAACAAGGGCACACTCCCATCGTGCATTAACGTGGTGCACCACGTATTTATTGAAAAATTATAGATAAATACTCACAAACCAAAAGGGATAAAAACTGTTGTAATTCCTACATCGTTCACCTGATTTGGATGTAAATACAAATTAAAGCTGACAGTCTGCAGTTAGAGCACATCTTTTTCGTTTCATTTCAAATCCATTGTGGTGGTGTATAGAGCCACAAATGTTAGAATTGTGTCGATGTCCCAATATTTATGGACCTGACTGTATATTACCTTCTGTAAGACTCAAGAGTCAAACCTATTGACATCTTCGCCATAGACAAAATGGCCAAATCTTTAAGATCTGACTGCACAATGCTTTGTTTGAGACAAGTACAGTTTATGTGAAGAAAATGTGCCTGGAGCACTACAGGCACACATACAACAGGCTGCTTTATAGGACTACCTTGTAATCCACGTCCGTAAACTATTGAATGAACATACCATGTAACCTCACACTTAATCTTCATAAACATGATGTATATATAAGCAATCCTATATATTACCCTTAATGTGGAATATAACTTAGCTGAGTGTCACGATGATGAATCTAGATGGAGCTCAGCCCATGTGAAAGGACTTTACGCTGTCACATTTCTTACAAGCGTTGGACACATCTCCAAGCCAGAGAGGCGGCATCATATTAATCTCAGCTGACAGGTTCTGCCTCCTAGAGGTAAATGCAGCCGCGTCCTGGCTTTAGTTTACATTCCTGGCCGCCTGCATTTTCTTTGCACAGCGTTTCATCTTTTATGCGGTATGACTTAGTGCTGATAACTCTTCTGCACTGGAATTATCAAATTGTTTATAGATATTGGAAGCATGCAAAAGACATTAATGTGCTGTCCAAGTGAATGACACCAGATGCAGATGTGAAGGATAGGAATTTCTAGTCTTGCTCATCTGGTTTCAAACAGAACTAATGTGATCATACTACCACTGTGTAAAATACAATGACAGATCCCAAATGCCCCCATTTGGAGTGACTGCCCTGTTGTGGGACCAGATCACTCACCTTTTCATTCTTCATCAGTTGTCCTTCTTTTTGGTATGATGTACAGACTTTTTTGGTATGATGTGACAACATCACATGCCTGATGAAGGGGTCCTGCGAGACTCCGAAACGTTGCCGTTCTGTAACTATGTGATCGTTCATTAAAACTTTTGGACCCATATTGGTGATCCTCTGTGTGCTGGTGAAATTCTTCCTTCCCTATCAGTAATAGAACACACTTGCCACTTACTACTGCGTGTAGTACCGCCATGCTAGCACCCCTGTTTATACCTAGTTTGACTTGAATGCTCCTCGTATTAAAATTATCAGTAATGATATCCATTTCTATAAAAGTATACAGTACATGATCTACATAGTCTACATAAAGCCAGCATATTTACACTTTTACCGCTCTTATCCATTTTCTTTTGCTGTCTGCGTTTTTCGGGTTACTCTGGCTCTCAGGTTTCCTGTGATTTTTTGTCTTTTGTCTATAGCCATACAGGGTTATGTAGGATTCTATCTTTTAACTGCTGGATTTATCATTTGATCTTCTGATGTCGTTTGATTTTTTTATCTGTTTCCTTGGCATTTCTCGTTACTTTAAGTTCTTTTTTCATTTTAGACTAGACCTTGACACTCTCCAAAGAGACAAAAAAAAAAAAAGCTGCTACAGGTAAAAGGTACAAGCTTAAGCAGTAACAAAAAAGCTGCAGATATGGCCAAATACCAGGTAATTATGACAGACAAGCCTCTGATACTATTGACTAGTTCTATTGGCCCATTAAAATATTGAGCTGGTTTGCTGACCAAATGAAATGTACAGGTGGCAGTAAGGTGAACTCTGCCTGTCAGATTGGCTCTTCATTTCATCATTTTTTTTTTTAAATAGCAAATGTGTCACACTTACTTGCTCTGTGCAATAATTTTGCACAGAAAAGCGCCAATCCTCCTCTTCGCAGATACCCTACTGGCACTCCTGGTGTCTTCCCAACACCAAGTACTTACTCCTGCGCCTCACTGTCTGTGTCTATTGCCTTAGACCATCCTTTCTCAACCAGGGTGCCCAGGCACCCTGGGGTGCCTTGGGGTTTCTTCAGGGGTGCCTTGGCAAAATGTCTAAAAAATACCCAAAATCTGTATACAAGCCAGCGGGTGGAAAAAGCCTGCCTTTTAGTTACACAAAGCCATGGGTTTTCATTGTGCACCATTATGACCTTCTAGCCGCCAGCGTCCTGACAACCAGTGACATCATCTGTTGATAAGGAGGATGTCAGCTGCCTGCACAGCATTCTAGTTTGACCCTCCCCTGCCCCTCTCCATCAGTGCTGGGGTCACATTAGCTCAGTGATGGAGAAACACTGGAATACTAGTCAGTACCAGCATGCAAAAGTGTATTTGCTTTGGAAGAATAAATCACCTCTAATGTTGGGTGTCCTACATGTGTGGATGTTGCTGTGTTATTTAAAGCTATTAGAATAGTTTTTTCACATTGTAGAATGGGGTGCCCTTTTAAAATTATGGACATTCTTGAGACACCCCATTTTAGAATGGGGTGCCTCTGGACTGTCCATAATTCTAAAGGGTGCCATGACTGAAAAAAGATTGAGAAACACAGACATAGACAGTGGGACTCGGCCCCCCACCAATGGCTCCTGTTGCTGTCTTTGAACTAACGAGGAGAGAGAGAGCAGAGCCTTCCTATCATTGTAGAGGATTTCTGATAGTCATGTACATGACTGGATCGAGATCGGGCTCAAGAAAATATAAGGGGGGTCTGGGGGGAAAACTGCATGCAGATGGTTTTTTATCTTCATGCATAGAATTCATGAACGTAAAAAAATACCTTCTGCCTTTATAGCCACTTTAAAAGGTATATATGTCTTAGAAAAACACCAGTACTTTATATCTGCAGCAGTTTTTTTTTAATTTATGTTCTAAGGCAGGGGTGGCAAACTGGTGGCCCTCCAGCTGTTGCGAAACTACAATTCCCATCATGCCTCTTCCCTTGGGAGTTATGCTGGTAACTGTCAGTCTTGCAATGCCTCATGGGACTTGTAGTTTGGCAACAGCTGGAGGGCCGCCAGCTTGACACCCGTGTTCTAAGGGGCTGATTAACTAAAGGCCAGGGGCGGACTGACCATTTGGAAATTCGAGCACTGCCCGAGGGCCCAGGGTCAGTAGGGGGCCCCATGAGATGCCCCTGTTACCTTTTTCATAGGCTTTTTTGAGTTTGGGCAAGGACACAGGGGCCCCATGATCCACTATTGCCCGGGGGCCCCATGAGTTGTCAGTCCGCCCCTGCTAAAGGCAAATACACTGTGCACTTTGAAGTTGCTCCAGAGTGTAGTAAATGAGGTAAAGCTTCATTTGCAAAGAATGCCCAATCACATGCAAGGAAAATTTAAAAAAAAAGCATTTTTGTTTGCACATGATTGGATAATGGAGGTCAGCAGAGTTTCTTCATTTACTAAGCTATGGAGCAACTGCTCTTGCATCAACCCCTAAGTCCTCATGCACACTGGATGTTTTTACAGCTACTGTTTTTGGCGGGTTTTTTTTTACAGCCAATAAATTCCCCAGCATGTTATCCTATGTGTTCATGCACACATAGACTGTAATCAACGTATGGGCAATTTTTGGCTGGAAAAAAAAAACAGAACTAGTGGGTTTCTAGAGGATTTTTTTAGCTGTAAAAACGCTCTAATACTGAAAAACGCAGCAAATTGAGTTAAATTGTGACTTTTTTTGACCAAAAACAAATTTTTTTATTATTGGAAAAAAAACTTGAAAAAATGCAAACGCGAAAAAACATGGCAAAACGCGTATACAAAAAATGCTGAAAAACTCACGTTTTTAACATGACTTTACACAGCTAATATTACCAGCGTTATTAAAATGCCCCGTGTGCATGGAGTCTTAGTCTCACTAAAGAATAACCAAACCCCAAGAAGAAAAATTTCATATATTTCAGCTTACCAGTCCTTAGAAGTGACAGCTGTTTTAGTTTTCATTTTTCAAAGTAAGAACATTTCTAGCAAATACCAACTCCTGTGAGCTAAACTACAGCAAAAACATTGTTAAGCTGGCCATACATGGATCGAAATTCAACTGGTTCAGAAGGAACTGGCTGAATTTCGATCCATGTATGTTCCTGTTTCTGAGAAGTCAATATAGAAGTCAAATTTTTATAAAGGGGCTTACTGGAATATTTCTGCTTGATCAGTGCCTGCAGCACTGATCAGTGTATTCGGATGGTGGGAGAGTCCCATTGTCAAAATACAAAATACAATGACACAGCAGGTATCATATCTCCATCCACCTCGAATAAGTGGAAGGAAAAATCGGTTCAATTTTCTACCCAACTTCCATGTAAACTGATATAGGTAAAAACAATTAGTTACTATGCATTTATTAACTACTATGCATTTACTACAAATCATTAAATGTATAATAAATATGAGTATATAAATATACTGATTGAACCCTTATATTGTCTGTACTGTGAACATTCTCGAAGGAAGGAAAAGACAAGGCATGATCTCATTAGTCCTACAATTTGAAACACAGTGCTGCAGGCTTTCAATAAATAGCATAGGCAGTGAGGAGGTGACACCTGTCAAAATCTACTTTGGATTGCTTTTCACAAGGGAGGTAAACACTATTACATGTCTAAGGGAGGTCTCAGTGATGATGTCTGAGGCCACCATGTTGGCTGAATTTAGCAAGAGTCAGTTTAGGCAGACCATGAAAAATGTGTAAAAAAGGTTTAGCGTGTATAAAGTGCTCTAGGCTCATTACAATATTGATTTTTCAAACAAAAGTGCAGTTGAATTTTAAAGCCAATCTTTTCTATTAATGGCTTCCATCCTTTTTTCCACTTGCATTACCCTTGGCGTACTATCTCCATAAATTGGTTTTCCCTCCAAAATCAGACAGTACTGTACCACGCCAAATGATGGTTGTGGCCAAATTATTCTAAAAGTGGGAGGGAGCTTTAAAGCCAGCCATAGATGGATCGAATCTCAGCCGGTTCAGCAGGGACTGGCCAAGATTCGATCCATGTATGGGCAGGCTGATTGTACTCAAGTTGATCCATTGATTGACTTGGGTACAACCAGCATGTCGGATTTTTAGCCTGCAATTACTGCCTACAGCTATAGTCATTAGCAGTAATCATTATGTTCTCCCAGCAGGGATGGCTCCCTGCAGGCAAAACACAATAGCTCCAAGGGAGGGATTCCCCCATCAACAATGACTGTGTTGATGGGGAAATCAAGGTATTTTTTTCAAAGAAAATCATATGATCTATGGCTTGCCTAAAGCATACAGTTAAATCAAAAATTGGGTCTTCTCTTTTCTGGATCAAGGGTGTGCATCACACAGACTGCAGGGGTCACACACAGAGTGAAAGAGTGCGTAACGTACCGCCATTGTAGCCTGTGCACGCTTCTTGGGAGCGTGTGGCACCACAATCCAGTGCCCGCTGTGACCTGTGTGAGGTCCCGATAATGTGATCCCTGATTGGCCAATCAGTGATGACATGAATAGTAGTAAGCAAGATGTCACTTCCTGACATCATTGCTTACTACTAGTGAAATCTGTGAATGATCACAGAGGTCACATGGTACAAGGCTATTCACAACAGCCTTCTACCATGCGACAAGCTGTGACCAATCACAGCTCTCACAGTATTTCTCAATGGCTGCAAGAATGCAGCCAGAGAGAAGGAGAAATGATGAGCTTTTACAACCTTTATGGGTAATAAAAAAAAAATATTCATCACCCCCCACAAGTAGTACAGTGTCACTATGGTGACACTGTACTGCTAGGGTAACAGTATGTTAAAAAAAACACAAATAATCATTTAAAAAATAAAATAAAAATTTAAAAAACATTTTTGAAATATTATAATTTTTGGTTATAAACTAATTTGGGTTATTTTTTTTTTTTTACTAAAAAGATAGCTGAATACATTTTGGCCAAGATTTATGAAGATTATTTATTTGCAAAATTTTATAAAGAAAAACACTTTTTTTCTAAATTTTTGGACATTTCCAGTTATATAGCAAAAAAAAAATAAAAATCCCAGCGGTGAATAAATACCACTAAAATAAGTTTTATCTGTCTCCTAAAATGCTAAAACATTCATATGGGTGCAGTATTGCACGACCGCGCAATTGTCATTCAAAGTGTGACAGCGATGAAAGCTGAAAATTGGCCTGGGCAGGAAGGGCGTGAAAGTGGTTAAATCTATTTTTTAAATGTGAGCAGTGTAAGTACCTGACTTGGTATCAGCCTCTTGTAGTCCCAATACCAGCCTCATGCTGGTTATCGCCTGAGGACAAATAGGGGTTTATTTACTACAGTTGGAGAGTGCAAAATCAGGCTCATTTCTGCATAGAAACCAGCTTCCTGGTTTTACTGCCAAAGCTTAATTGAACAAGCTGAGGTTAGAAGCTGATTGGTTTCTATGCAGGCGTGAGCCTGATTTTGCACTCTCTAGCTTTAGTAAATAAACCCCATAGTGGCAAAAAAAATACACTGCAGAGGAAATCTCTGGATTGAGGATGAATATTGCAGCAAAGACTGGTTTTGTTATTTTATCCTATTTTTTTTTTACTAGAGTTCTCCTTTAAATAAACTTCCAGAGCACATAGAATCTGACGATGATTTCTCAGTTAGTTTTCTTAAAAAATTAAGCATCCAACGACAATACAAAGTCTATTGATGTTAGGCAATGGACTGCCAAATAATCAATTCTCCCGCAGTACAGATATATAAAGGCATGCTCGTATTCTTCTGATGAGACGTGGTTTAGTTGTTGCTAGTAGTACTTAACATTATGCAACATACACTCTCATCACTGTTATCTACTAAGCAGGCTCATTCTTCCAATTACATGAAGACTGCCAATTAAATGCTGTTAATACTATGTTCTTATGAGTCACTAGTCTAATTTATGTGTAAATACTGGTTGTATGCCCAACTTCTAATTTACATCTAAATGCCATTATTATCTACAGCATTCTTTTTATAAACAACAGTGACCTCTTCATTACCATCCTAGTCTTGCTGGTAATGGTGCAAGAAATGGGACCGAAATTCAGAACTCGTTTTTGCCTGGGAGTGCTCATTGAGCATTTTGCAGCATTTGAGATACTTACTGTACATAGTTAGTTATGTTACTGTATGCTGTCATGGTTAAAGACCAAACTCCAGGCTACGGTTTTTCTAAAAATGTTCCCCAGCTGTTTAAATAAAAAGCTAAGGGCTCATGTATACTGCAGCTGATAAACTGACATTCAGGAGCTGATCAGCGTTTTTTTTTTTTTTCAGCAGCCCCTGAACCCTCCCTGATGTTTTCCTATGTGTCCATGTACACATCGTCCTTTACAGTCGTTTACAGGCATTTGAGTTTATAGTCCTTTTTTTGAACGCAGAAAACTTGCGTTCAGCAGTCAATTTTATCAGCATTTCAAACGCAAAAGGAGGCTAAACGCAGCAAATCGCGTTTATAAGCGTTTACAATTTTTTTTTACTCTTCCGGTTCCCAATGCTGTCCAGCGCCTTTTTTCATCATGAAAAATGCATGCAAAGCGTTTTCAAGGTACTCAGATGGACAAAACACTGAACACAGGATGTTCCTACCAAGCTTGTTATGCATTGGAATGACCAATTCACACCTTAGACCTCTCCCACCCTTGGAAACAAAATATATGTTAATGACCATTCACACCTCAAATTCCTCATGAAGACCCCCTGCCAGGTGGCCTTAATGACTCACTCTGCCAGACACCTTTCCCACCCTTGGAAACAAAAGAAATGTTAATGAGCAACTCACACCTAGCTAATGTCAACACATACTGCTGTCTCTGCTTCTACTCTCTGTATTTCTCTGAAACAGTCTGAAATAGTTAATAATTTACCACTTTTCAGTGCATTCTGGGCATTTGGGAGGTTCTACTGTGCTTGTCTTTAAAAAGCGCACATAAATGGAAATGCGCATAAACGCGTTATGCAACAGCAGCTAAACAGACATTTTTTTTTAAGCTACGTTTTCCAGCAGTCAATTTCCATTGTTCATAAGTGTCCCGTGTACATGGGGCTTAAGGGTTCATGCACATTGCATAAACTGACGTTCAGGAGCTTTTTTGTGTTTTTTTTTCAGCAGCCCCTGAACTCTCCCTAATGTTTTCCTATCTGTCCATGTACACATAGTCATTTACAGGCAGTTGAGTTTACAGTCGTTTTTATGAACACACCAAACTAGAAGCGTTTTTTTTAACTGTTCCATGTCCAGATACTGTCCAGAGCCTTTTTTCATCATCAGAAATGTATGCAAAGCACGAAGGAAAAAATGGTAGAATGTGCTGCATTATGCTCATGATGGGATCCATAGTGAATAC